GGACTTTGGTGGGCAGGCCTTTGTTTTAGGCTGGCTCTGTGGCTCCCTTGCTGTGTGATCCTGGGCAAGATACAGAACCTCTCTGAGTCTCAGATTCTCCTGAGTAAAACGAGGGGTAATAAAAGCACTTACCTTATAGGGCTGGACAGATTAAGCATGTCTGTGTAGAAAAGTGTTTTGTAAAGCACATCAGTGATAATGTCGGGTGGGAGGAACAGGCATAAGATGAAGAGGGGGCCTCAGGCATAGGGTGACGAAGGAGTCCAGAGGGTAGACATGGTTACTTTTATCTGGAGGGTTTAAGGGACTTTCAAAGACACTCAGATGTGTAGAAATAGAAGAATTTTAGAGATTAACTCGTCCAATATCCTCCTATTTGGAATTTGGGCTAGAATCCCACTCTTCTTGACTTTTGCTCAAGTCTTTCTCCTTCATCCCATGCTGGATTTTTAACCTCCAACTTTGACTGCTGGCCAGGGAATACCATGACCCACTTAGGAGTGTATGCAGGGCAGAGACCAGCATACAGACCAGCTGTGTGGTAAGGCCCCAGTGAGCTTTCTCGAGGCACTGTCAGGTGTCAGGAGGAAGGCAGGAGGGGATCCCGGGGATCTGAACGCTCTGCTCCATATCACTAGGGTGCTGGAGGAGGGAGCCCTGGTTCCACCCCGCCCAGGGGCATGGGTTGTGGATTACCTGGTCCCTCTGCCAAACGGATGTTAAAAACAAAGCTGCCAGCAGGCTGCTCAGTGGCCTGGCGGTACCACAGAGGGAAGTTGTCCATGGTGAACACGCTGGCTTCATCTTCAGGGCTCAGGAACTTCCTGCAAGGAGAGAGATCTGGTTCCTCCCCCAAATCTGGGAACATGTCCTTCCCTTTTTCCTTTTTCATACACAGTCATCTTCGCAGGATCAAGACAGTGATTCCCCTGCTTTGGTGGAGTTGCAGGTAGAAAATAGTAGCTCCTAAGTTGGTATTGCCCAGAAAATGTCCCCAGCAATTCCTGCCTCTTCCAGAAGCAAATGCTGTAGCATCTGATGATGGCACATTAGTAGCTAGAAGAGGTAGGGGACCCGTGTTGTTAAAGAATACTTTCCATTTTTATGTAAACTCGTTTGCCGGACAGCGTTTATTTCTTCTCTTGGATATAGCCTAATTTCTTTATTTTTGTCTGGCTAATTAGCATGTCTGAGTGAGGAGATTAGTCAANCAGGCCACCATAGGTACAGAATATAGGTGGCAATTTCAGCTCCACATTAAAACAGCTTTCTGGCTCTGAGGTGGTACAAGCTAGTCCATGACCTTGGGTGTCGTAATTTTCATCTGTCCATGGACCTGGATTAGCTTTTCAAAGCACTCTTATCTATGGGTCAAGTTCCATTACTAAAAATTCCAAGAAAGGGGCAAAATTTTATCATGTGCTCTCTTGTTACAAGGTCATTATATCAAATGTTGAAACAAATGGGTCATGAGAATCTTGCTGTCTGGGGATTGTTATTACAGTGTCAGTTGTAATGGAACTTAAATTATCCACTATTTTTTTGTATGTGCTATTTTGCTAAGATTACCCATCCCACCTTGCTGCAATCACATATGCCACAGAAATTAAAATTACTCTGATTCTTGGAACTTATAATATATGAGGTTGTCTTTGAGTGTGGGAATTTGCCAAGGGACCACAATAGACACAGAAGTCAGCTTCCTCGCCTGGCTTCTAGAAATGCCTGAGAAATATTGATGTGGCTGACCCCACGCAGTTTTCTGCAGGCCTGCAGGACGCTTTCTGGGACAGACCTTCCATTGTATGTGTGCTCCACAGGCTTGTAGGAAACACCCAAGTGAGGTGTGGGGGCCCTAACAACACAGTCTCTGGGGGACTTCAGGAATTTCAGCACCTGGTCACCTAGCAGCTCCTTGGCCCAGCAACTGGTGTGAATGAGCAGGCTACCAATTGCTGGTGGGTCGAGGCCCAGGGGCTGGCTCAGGAAGTGGTGGGCTGCAGAAACAGGAGTAACCGGTCTGAGCCACCAGGGCTCTGGCGGGACTCTGCTCTGTGCTGGCAGGTTTCTCAGGCACGGACAAAAGATAGCTCCATGTGGGCAAAGCTCAGCCCACCAGGCCCAGGAGAAGGGCAACAGAGTCAGCCTGGAGAGGCAGAGGAAAGCCTCCCTTTACCCTGAGCTGACACATCTGCCTCCTCAGGGTGCCCTTCCCCTTACAATGAGATTGTTTTCTTTCTTTTAAGGAGAATGGGGGTGTGCAGAGGTGTCCATGTGTCTCTCAGCATATGCATGAGCTAAGCCAGTAAGCGA